TATGCAGACACCGCGAGCATGCGTTACTGAGTCCCTCTTTAACGGCAGCTACGTCCACCTGGGCCTTAAATGCGGTCTGTTAGGTGAGCTGCAACTTCGGCCGTCGGCTTTGTTACCGAAAATACGGGTTCAACTCCACATTGACGGAATGAAGCTGTTTAAAGGGTCTGGTCAGTGTCTATGGCCAATCCTCGGTCGAGTCAGCTATCCTGTCCGTGGACTGCAGTTTGTTGTTGGAGTGTTCTCTGGTTCCGGCAAGCCTGAGCCTTTGGATGTATTTCTTGGCCAGTGCATCTCAGAACTGAAGGATATTCTGACCAGCGGACTTCAGGTCCCGGATACGGATGCCGTAGTTAGAGTTGAGCTCGCCAACGTCATCTGCGACACGCCTGCTCGGTCCTACGTCCGGTAAGTAAAAGCGCATAATGGCTATTACGGCTGCGACAGGTAATTGACATAATGGACGAAAATGTAATCCTCCTAGGTGTTGTCATATGGGATGGCCCGTGGCAAACCGCATGACGTTCCCCGTGACAGGTCATTCCGCATGAGAAGTCAGGAGCAGCACCACAAAGGCACCTCACCTTTCGAGGACTTGCCTATTGATATGGTTGCTACCTTTCCAATTGACTACATGCACCTTGCACTTAAACGATGCACCACGCATGCCGATTAGTAAAACAAAATTATTACTAAATTTGCTAATAAGAGGAATTATTTATATATTAACGTTTCTTTTTTTATAGGAGCCTGTCGTGGATGAAAACTTCCGTCAACAGAACAATGCCGTTTAACTGACTGACCAGAACATATTCGTGTCTCATATGCCCCTTGTACATACTACTCCACCACTTTTTTTTATTTTATATGTTCAATAAACTACCATATGCCAATATTTGCTGTCCGTTGACTTTGTTCATGTAGACCTCGGGACATGTTTGAGTTATCGGCGCTGTCACTATATTTAGAGGGCGGGTAATACTTAGCAAAGGTAAGGGTTATGGGTGTACATCGATCAGAAGTAGAATAGTAGAACTTACTGTATGGAGAACTAGGAAAGGGATAATACTCGTAACGTAAATGAGGGGTTAATATCACGGAGAGCGTGGCTTCCCACTGCCCGTTTTTTTCGAGGACGGGGACAGACGGGGCTGGGCCCCGCCTAGCCCGCGGGGCCAGACGGGGCTATCGCGTCCCTAGCTCCGTCATAGCTCCGCCCAAATGGGGCCCAGCCCCGTCTGGCCCCGGGGGCTAGGCGGGGCCAGACGGGGCTGGTGCTAGCAGGGACGCTCGTGCATGCTTATAAACATGTGCACGCGTTTAATTTCCGAACATATTCGCTCTGGCCTACAAAGGAAGGACTGCGCAATCAAACCCCTCATACTGCAAGGTGGAGATTGACCGCAGACGATCAATTATAATTATAACAGCTTTCTTA